TTAAAATCTCGCTGAGTTTAATCACGGAGGGCAAATCATTGATGTATAAATTAAATAAAGTGGGTCCTAAGTGGCTACCTTTAGGTACACCAGACGTCACGGGAAATTCATCCGAGGTAATGAGGTTAAATAAAACCCAGAATAATCTACCATGCAGATAAGAGCTTAACCATTCCACTAAGAAGAAAGGTAAGCCAGAGGCTTGGAGTTTAAAGATAAGTAGTCTATGGTTAACCAAATCAAACGCTTTGCTAAAGTCAGTGTATATGACATCAGTGCGAGAGCCACTAGAGAAAGCCTTGAAAACATGAGAAGTAAACTCTAACAGATTGGTGACCGTAGATTTTGCCTTTCGAAAACCATGTTGGAGAGGAGAAATATACGATTTCATGGAAAAGGCTATATGCTGAGCGACAATTCGCTCGAACAGTTTATGCAAGACACTCAACTTGGCAATGCCTCTGTAGTTCTCTACAAGTTGCCTACTACCACTTTTGTGAATAAGAATAAGGAAACAAATCTTCCAACACAAAGGGAAAACACCTGAATTCAAGGACTTGTTAAAAATCTTTGAGATAAGACCACATAGCATTTATTTTGAAATTCATATTAATTTTTGTAGACTGGTCAAATTGTGAAATGGAAAATGCTGGAGGAAAGAGCGATTCCATCAATTAGCTGAAGGCTATTTACCATATGTCATATCTTCTGACGCCTGAGTTAATTAGTTGTGAAAATAAACTAAGAGCAAGTAAGAAAGTCATACTCGGCCGAAGCCGAATCTCGTATAGCCACCACCATTGAAACTTTTAGCGCCACTTGCTTTTGCTTATTGTCATAAAAAAAGGGAACGGGATAAAATATTAAGGTTTACCTTTTTACCTTACCAAATGGTATTGCAAAGGAAAATTCATTGTCATCATCATGACGTCCACCATAATTAATTTAAGATTCACACATTTAGCTTTTCGCATTCTACTCTCTAAGCCCTTTTATTTGATACTCATATCGCTGTTAATATTAAGAAAAAAATTAATCCACCAGGTCGCGATGCCCCCTATATTTAGTTTAGAATTAACGCTTTTTTAGGCAGATAGTGTATCTTCGTTTGAGGAATGTACAAAATAGTTTTAAGCATTGTGTCGCGTTTACCGTATGATTAACAAGCATAAAACCTCGAAAAAGGTAAAAAACATAATTTAATTACTTTGTGTGGGCATTGACGATTTTTTCCATTTTGTTACATAAATAGTAGGGTTTCGTAAGGTAAATGTGCGAAAATTTCGGCATTCTAGTTTTATAAATTCTGAGTAACGAGCCAAAACCCGTAGCACCATTGCGGGCCTCTGTTCTGACTAATTTGGCCCATTTTCAATGCCAACCTTCGTGCGAAAACTACCAATGTTTCCACCAAATGCGAAGTGGGTAACTTCATTTTTTCAAACGCCACGCACAAAGACAGGCAGCGGTGGCTTAATCAAGTCAGAATTTCACGCTGATCAAGAGTAAATATACTTTACAGGATCTCTGAAGCTTTCCTTTGGGTACTACATACCTCATGAAAAAAAAACAAAATGAGTACACTCCCACCCTTCAGTGATAGGTATAAAAAAGCCATGAGATCCATTATACATTTGCATTATGGAAAAGATGCAGTGAAAAATTTCTTTATATATATAGCGTATTCAGACTATTCGGAATTTATCTTTCTTACTCCAAGTCGATTCCATTCAAAAAAAAAGAAAAAAATTGAAGAAAATTTGGAGAAAAATTTCGGAATTTTCTCAATCAAATCTAAATAGACGTCGCAGTTAGAAAATACGATTTGGCTAAGAAGCACGCAGGAAATGAAATAAAAATTGAATTTTTAATTTTTTTTTTTTTTTTTATAAAGTCTGGCATAAAATTCCAAAATCTTTCATTAACACTCAAGAAGTTTACGATACTGATGATGAAAATGAAAAATTGAAAAATGAAAATAATTGTGACTTATATGACGCCGATACAGACGAAGAGAATATTTTGAATATACGAAGAGGACAGAAAAGAAAGAGATTTATAGTTAATTCCGAAAGTGAAAATGTGGAAGAGATTGAAACTGCTATGGACGGAGCTGTTTGGAAAAAAATAAAAGAAGGGTCTAACAGTGGAAGAACATCGATTTATAATATTTTCAAGGAAATATCAAGGCTGACAGACTACGCTAAACGAAATATTGTGAAGGGCAGAGCATTTTCAGCATTTTCATTTATTATTGATCATATAATGATGGAACATGTAAGAGATTATAGGGAATCAGAGGCATTTCGAGTGTTGAAAACGAAATGGAATTTATCTATTTCAAAATTATATGCATTTATTGGACTTCTATTTACACGCGACGCATGCGAGGCTAAAAATATTAATTTATCATATTTATGGAACATGAAATGGGGTCCGTCATTTTTCTCGACAACGATGAGTCGAAATAACATGAGATTTATTCGATTTGACAAAACGGTAAGTTCGCACTGATTTCTCAAGTTTGGTATAAATTTATCGAAAACAGCCAAAACTGTTATAAACCAGGAACATATCTTGCTATAGATGAACAATTGTTTCCTACAAAAGCATGTTGTAGATTTACTCAATATATGCCCAACAAACCGGACAAATTTGGCATAAAATTCTGGTTAGCTTCCGATGTAAGTAGTAAATATATAGTAAACGGCTTTCCATATTTGGGAAAAGATGAAGGGAGAGAATCATCACTCATCCCACTTGGAGAGTTCGTAACTTTGAAATTAGCAGAACCATATACGGGCCATGGGAGAAATATAACAGTTGAAATTTTTTGACAAGCGCGTCACTAGCAAGTAAACTTCTATCAAAAAGAACTACTCTTGTTGGAACTATCCGGAAAAAGGATAGTATGACAAGCTTCTCAACAATATTATACAAATCGAAAGATTTTATTCTTACAATTTATCAAGCTAAACCCAATAAAAAAGTATTGATACTTAGTTCAATGCATTCATCCGTTTAAATTGAAAAAAATGATACCCGTATACCAGAGACAATTACAGTTTATAATAGGACAAAATTCGGTGTAGATGTAACCGACCAAATGGCCAGAAAACATAGTGTAAAATCTAAATGTCAAAGATGGCCTTTACAGGTATTTTTCAATATATTAGATTTAGCCGGTATAAATTCTTGGATTTTATATAAAGAAACGACGGGCGAGGAAATATCGAGGCAAGAGTTTTTATTTCAATTGGCAGAAGAACTTGGAACCGAATATCAGAAAGAGAAACAGATAAGCCAAGAATGCTCATCAAGAACAATAATAAATACAAATACGGTTTCTTCTGAACGGAGATCTTGTCAAATAAGATATTGTAAACTCAACAAAACAAGCAAAATTTGCATAAAATTTAAAATATACGTATGTGAAAGATGTGCAACACAAAATGTTGTAATTTGTAAAAAATGTGATGAAAATGCATAAAAAAAGTAAATAAAATATACAACATCGAAAAGCGGTGAACGAGTTTTTATTGTAGCATCAGAAAAATATTTTGTTTACTATCTACTTTACATATGTTTTTTTTTTTTTTTGGCGCGGTCATTTGACCGCTCATGGTAGAAATAGGTATACATGAAATGTCGGTAGGTTTAGTGTTAACATTAGTCAATTTTTTTGATAAATTATTAGACAAATAAAAATATGCAATAAAACAAAAAAAAATTACTTAAATGTAGGCAACAGAATTTTCGACCTAAAAATAGGCAACATTTTTATAAAAGTAACCAAAAGCAATTATTATATCTTGCAGTTATCTTATGATCTTCTTCCTAAAAAAGGAGCCGCCTTTTCTGCCTGAAGTTTATGTGACTTTGCGAAAAATCGGCATTCGATTCCACTGTAATTCTGATATTGAATTGAAATATATGAGGGCGTTATTTATGTTTGTGTTATGAAAAAAATATTCTTTTATTTTACGTTTTGACATCTTTTAATTGGAAGCATAAATTGTTTGTTTAATTTGCCATATGAGAGCGGACTTTGAGTATTGCGTGAGCGCTTAAATGTTAAATATAAAACGCAACATTTATATCTTCCTTTCATACAAATTTGGTAAACCACGATTCGGTCAAATTAATGACAATAACAACGATAGCGATATGAACAGTGGGTGTGAGTATAAGCTGAAATATACAAGAAATCGTTTGTATGCGGATGCCTGTTTAAGATATGCATGTTAACCATTTTTGGTATTATAAAAAACTTATAAATATTTATAGATACAATTGAAGAAGGCCAGAGTAATAAAAAAAGGCCCCCATCAAATCCGTAACGGGAACATGAAATTATATTAATGTATACATTTCGTTATCAAGTCGTCATTATGGCAAAGCGTATAGTGCTTACTTATAGAGCTTTTTATTTTTTTGAAGAAGAAAGAGAAAGGGAGCCGCAATATTCCCGGCTGCTTCGTAGGAAAGCGTTAAATGCAATGTCGAGCAAAATTCGTGTATACACGTCCGATATCGTTCAGACTAAAGGAGAATTGTGAAATATCTAAAATCTGTCAACATCCTTAAGGCGTGCAAGGTTCAAAGTTGGCATATAAAATTTTAAAAAATATCACTACGAGTATGAATGGGCTTTTATGAGCTCACACACATATTGCAAAGAACGCGCCATGACATATTTTATCTGAAACATTGTGTTGGAGAGACAACTATTGAACAACTAAGCATGTGTGCAATAAGAGCTGTTTTTTATCATAAGAATGAAAGACGTGCTCAAGCAGATAATAACTCATCGATTAGAACTAATGGAAACCAGAAGAAGTCATTTCTATTGATAATCATGGGGAACGAAGCACTAATGTGTAAACAAGGGAGACATAAATACAAAAAACTCAAGCGAAATAAACAAAAATTATTAAAATTATGTTGCGTACCGTTTTGAAAAATCTTCTTTCGAGGTAAGCGTATTTCCAAAATTCTAGTACTTCTACGCTGTGTGTATTCGACTATGTTCAGAAAATTAAATCTGTGGACCGTTTAAATGTTTACCGCTTTGGGGCTATTTAAATCAATAAAAAGAATGTACAGTGGCGTTACCCCTTAAATTAAAAAAAAAAATTTATTGACTTCACGTTTAATATAGAACATGTATATATTTATTTCACTTTGCTATCTCATGAAATTATTCATAATATGATTTCTAAAAACTATGTTAAATTAATTAGCTAAACTATGAATCAGAAAAATCAAGAGTTACCGCATGAAATTTTTTCCTTTCTTTTGTAGTTGCTCACGAGAGACTTGCTTGAAAACGCGTTGTTTCGTTTGGTTTTCATTTAAATGTTTATAGTAACCGAAACCACCACCGCCGATACGTCTTTCAGGTCTCCGACGTTGCACGCTGTTGACTTTAAGATCTACAACAGGTGGTACCAGAAAACCGAAACTCTTAGCAACCGCTTGTAGATCCAAAGTATTCACATCGAATATTGTCTTCAATTGATGGGAATCATAAGCGCGCACGTATGATTTGAAAGCCTCTTTTGCCGATTGATTAAGGAAATAATTCTTCGCTATAAGTTTTTCCAACTAAAAATTGCGATAAATGTAAAGAAATAGTTATTCTCTTTTTCATTGCATGTACCTGTAATTGTATATCAGCAATTTTGCTCCACGAAAACTCAAACTCGTTTAGAGGAACTTTGGCAGCTTTTAAGTAACGCAAAAAGCCCAGTTCCTCAGGACGTAACATTAACAAAGCATGACCGGAACTACCAGTACCGCGAGCAGTACGACCTACGCGATGTATATATTCCTAAGAAAACAAAAATTAAATGTAAGAAATTTAAAAAACCGCCTCCAGATCCACCTAAGTTTTCAGCTGTTTGTTTGAGAAAGTTTTGAGAATTGCTGCCTCCGTTTGAAAAAAAAATAGCTTAGAAAGTAACATATTTTTTTTCAATAGCTTAACTTGCTGAAGTTTGTACGAATTCTTCTGCAATTTAATGCCTCTTCCATTGATTTCCAGCTCCTCTAAAACGCCAGCAGATTTGTTTAGAAAGTATTCATGTTCATTTAGAAGCATTTAGAAAGAAACTACCTTTCAGTATAGCTCCAGCAAGACTATCCTTAAGTAAATACGAGGCTGAGAGCTACTTGAAAGCTTACAGTGCGTGCTCCTGACAAGAAACTAAAAGTTTAGCGTATAGTTTTTGATACCAATTATAAAGTCATTTCGCAACACGTAAAGTGTAAAGCGTGCATGGCTGTGTTTGACAGATAGAACAAACTAAGAACAAATCTTCGAGTAAAGGCAATGTGGAGGAATACTTGAATGCAGGATAGCATTTCCCGGAAACACATTTTTTTTGAAGCTGGAATAGCATAATTACAACATTTTTTCCTCTTTTCACTCAAAAAATAAAATACACAGGCTGTTATTGCTCTTCAATTCGGAGAAGTAAATGTCCTACAGAAAACCTAATAGATTTTCCAAAAAAAAAAAAAAAAAGATCGTCTATCGAATGTAGGCGCATATATATTAAATTATCAATTTTTTTTTCACTTTCCCTCCGCTCTTAAGCAATCGGAAGACACTACTGAAAGGAAACTTGTATTTATCTTACCTTGGGATCATCTGGTGGATCATACTGCACAATCCAGTCGACTTGAGGTATATCTAAACCGCGAGCCGCTACATCAGTGCATAACAGTATACCTTCGGCAGCATTACAGAATTGAAAAAATGTGGTCGTACGCTTTGTTTGCTTTTGTTTACCCTAAAAATAACAAAATGACAAAAAAATTCAAATTATTTTGAAAATATTTGTTTTATAAACGGTTTAGTTTAGTTTAGTAGTTTAGTTATTAACCAATGCCTGTAGCAGTTGATTTTAACAATCGTTTTTTCTTTTTTCGTTTATTGAGTTATGTTTTACGAATTTTCTTTTGAAATAACCAAATAATAAGGAAATTAATTAACGAAATCTAGGCAGATTGTCATCTTGTCCTTGTCTACAAAATTCTGAAGGTTATGTGCATTCAAGTTCTCATCAAAATTTATGCCACTTTGGATGCCCAGTTGTTGTTTGACGACGGGTTGCCAAAAATATTCGATGTGTCGCTACCCAAATTCTCGAGATTACCTTTTTATAAACCCTTCAAGAATATTCTAACTTGCAACAATACAATGCCTGTGATGGATTTGTTAGAGAGAAAGAGAGAAAGGGGGAGACTGTTGAGAGTCTCTTAGCAAACTCCAGGAATGTGAGCTCAATCATCACTGCATTAAGTAAAACTTACGGATGTCCCGAGCAGCTAATAAAATCTCAAACCCACAAAATTAGTTCATTAGCGATTGAAGATACTAATTTAGACTCATTAACCACATTCGCAAATAAAGTGGTGAATATGGTCCCGCTTCGACTACTGTGAAACTTTTGGAATCCGAAAATCAAAATCTGCAGCCGAAGCTTCGTGCCATAATGAAGAATGCAATTGTTGAGAAAGTTTGCAATGATAACACCGCAGAGGCAAAATCGATAACAAAAAATGAACAAAAATTACGTAAAGAAGGCGCATCTACTCATAAGGAATTGCTATCTAATCACATTGGGAACGCCAGGTTATTGCCCGATTCTGATAAATTTTTTTATATAAAAAATATCAAAATGTTAGAGGATCATTAGAAATATCGTAGACCGTATTATTCTTAAAGAAGAGTACGTTGTGAGCAAAGTCGGGTTTTAAACAAAAAAATGTCTTTTTCTTACTTATGCGGGATACTTTTTGGACAATTCTCGCATATTGCGTAACGTCTTGAGTAAAGAATTTGTAAATCATTGAGAAATGGTAAAAAGCAAGTTTCAACGGGTTTTCTTCAAAACTTACATGAATTGAGGTTACTGGCAAATCAATATAGTTGAATAATTCATGGTGATATTTAACAGACATGCAAGATGAGAAGAAAACCATAACTTTTTTCTTGCGATTTTTCTTCAGGAATGTAAATAACACAAGCAATCTTTTATCAGAAGGGCAAACAATATAGCCCTGCTCCAAGCCACTAACAGTGGCAGTTTCTTCGTCATCATCAACGCCCACATAGAATGGTTCCTTTTTCAAAGCCAACTTTGATAAAGCATCTATTTTTGCTGTTTGCGTAGCCGAGAATAGCATGGTTTGGCGTCGTTCTTAAAAAACAGAGAAAACCTTTAAGAACAAAGCTTACTTTAATAAACCTTCAAACTCACTAGGTAATAGATTGACAATTTGTTTTAATTCCTCTTCAAAACCAATCTCCAATATACGATCTACTTCATCTATAATTAAACATTGCAGATTCTTATACAGAAAATCGGGAGAATTTTGTAAATGATCCAGTAAACGGCCTGGAGTAGCGACCAGTATGTTAATTCCTTTACTTAATTTTTCACTTTCCACTTGACGATTCGAACCACCCATAACAAGACCGTACGTATGATGATGATGTGCCATCAACTCCTTTAATACACCAAACGTTTGCATTGATAATTCACGGGTAGGAGAGATGATAATGACGCCCGTGCCATTGCGTGGCATAAACCGTAATTTGTATATCAATTCAACTGCAGGTATTAAGAAAGCTAAGGTTTTACCAGAACCAGTTTTAGCGGCACCGACTAAATCACGACCTTCTAACAAAGGAGGTAAAGATTTCGCTTGTATCTCTGTCATCTCACTGAAACCCATTTCTTCAATAGCTTTCAGGGTGGGTTCAGAAACTATACCTTTCAGTGAACTAAATGCAAGGTCGGCCTTATCACGTTTGCCCAAAGCTTCTGTGACCCCATCAGGGTCTAATTGTTCAAAACCTTCATCTTCGCTCTTGTGTCGCTTTTCTAACTTCTTCCCATTCTTCTTCTGAACTTTTTCTTTCGCCTGTACTAATGTTGGAACTTTTCCAGTTTCATCTTCATTGCCAGACACTTCCCTCTGTTCCACCATCTCCTCGTCCATGGGATCTGCAGCAGCTGAGGGAGAAAAAAAACATTTTCTAAGTTTTTTGGAATATGAAAATAAATCCTAGTAACAATATTTGGAAAATCAGAATTCACACAAATATGTTACGATTTCATTCAGCTTTTGTAGACATTAACGCGTCCCTCTCGAGCCTCAAATTCGCCTTTAAATCGTCATTTATTCGTACTACGCTTTCTTCCACGAGCATTTACTTACCCTCTCTTTCAGAGTTACTTTCTGATGATATTGGTGGCAACGGCTTCTTATTTTTTTTCTTAACTGTCTTCTGTTGTTTGTCCGCCTTGAGCTGAATGCCTTTATCATCGTCGCCTATGAATGCATTTAACAAAATATGCTTCAAATATTATTCCAATTTTCATTTATTTTTTAATTGACTTCATTATTACATACGTTCTTTTCGCGTGATAATGTGTCCCCTTTTAAGATGTTTGCCTTTTTTCTGCGCCAATTCTTTTTTAATTTTTTCACGTTTTTTGATTTTCTTTATTAACAGTTTTTCCCGTATCGGCATTTTTTTATATTTTATGATAAATTTAACAATTTAATTCGTGTAAGGCAAAACGCAACAAATAACGTAAAATTCTCTCACACGTGTCTGACAAAATGATTATTTGTCATCGATTATTATCGTTGATTGTGCATATCGCATAGACCGTATATTTGTTCCTTTACTACAACTGGCAAGTCTGTTGAAATCATCTAATAAAAAAAAAACAAGGGGTGAAGATTTCCGTTTTTCCGTAAAAACGTTTTTTTTTTGGTTTAAGTTGAAATTATTCTCAGAAAGAAATATAAGAAGAATTCCATCACTTATTCTAATTATAATTCCGGTTTGGATTTTATGTTATGAAATTGATATCAATTTTGTCTTCGGTACTTTTTCGCTAATTTATTCTAAAAGTGTTTCTCTCTTTCATTTCAGTTTTTCATTTCGAATTCAACTATCATGTTTTCTATATTCTACAAGTGGCACATGAGCTGCCACCTTTTTTATAACTTTTTTTCCAATTTTTTAAATTACAGATAAAAAACCAACTTAGATCAATCCAGACACATAAAGAGTAAAAAATAAACGACTGAAGCCGCTTTTTGATTGGTTTAGGTGAATGTAATGGAGCATCGCCGTTTTCAAAGCTTACTAATAGTGCATTTTATACTATATTGCTAGTCGTGTTCCATCAATAGAGACGGAACACTTTATGAAAAGCCGCCTAATCATCGGTGTATTTTTCAGACATCTTTCCATTTAACGGATTTCCATTTTTATAACAACTTCTGAATGTTGTTGTTTTCATCACTTTTAGAGCCGTTGTGGTATGTCCCCTGCTAGCTATAGACAAAAACCTGCGACTTATAGTTCATAGAAGAAGACATTGATCTAAAAATATTATGCGAAAGTCGTGAAGAGCATTTAAAGCTTCAGATGCAAAAGGTTTTTAAATAGAATAATGGCTTTACTCTCAATCTTTTCTGTACGGTGTTTATGTCAGATGTTGATCTGGAGCGCGCCATAAATACTCGCCAGAGTTAGTTAAAATTCGTAAGTAAAAAAATCTCGAATAAACATTTAATAAACAATTTTAAAATTGTACTACCTATTACAATAGAATGCCTGTGTATTTGTCTGAGATAATGGGTATGTGAGTTTCCTCTTCGAATGTTTTTTATTTTTTATATAGATTTGCCATCTACGTACGAACGTAGTAGATTAGTTGGCAAGTAAAATTGTAGATCGCTAAAAAAGTGGTCGAAAATTCCATTTTGTTTGCAAAGTAGTCATATAATAATTATTTAAGCAATATTCGTATAAAACTATATACACGTACATTATTACTACCCCATTTATGAAAAGAAATTTTTAATTTCTAAAATTTGATTACTTCCGGTCCATGGAAATTGATTTATTCAAAATAGTCCGATCGAGGTGGTACAGCAGCATCCCAGCCGATTGCACGCTCCACAGCCATTTTCCATTTAGCATAGCGAACGTCTCTTTCATTATCATTAATAGTAGGCGTAAAAGTTTTACGCGTCACACCTTTAGACAATTCCGTTTCTATTTTGAATGAGGGTTCTACAGCTTTATAAGCGGCCAAAGCTGCGCCTAATGCTGTTGTTTCAGGTAATTTTGACTTAATGACACTTATGCCAACCAAATCTGATTGCAGTTGCAGAAATAATTTGTTAACCGTCATACCGCCATCAACCATTAGCTTTGTCAAAGGTATACCGCAATCTTTCTTCATGGATTCTAAAATGTCGCGTACTTGAAAACATATGGACTCCAAAGTAGCACGTACCACATGTTCACTGGTGGTATCTTCACTTAGACCACAAATTATTCTAAAATCCATTAGCACTAATTACATATTCACACACTCAATTTATTACCTACCCTCTAGCTTCTTGATTCCAGTAAGGGGCATAAAGGCCACTAAAGGCAGGCACAAAGTAAACATCTAGCGAATTATCGACCATAGACGCCATGGGCTCGACTTGAGTAATTGACCCAAATAAACCCAAATTCTCACGTAGCCATTTCAGGGCTACACCAGCTATAGCGACACTACCTTCTAAAGCATACATCGGAGTAGCGTTACGCCCAAGCTGATAACCTACCGTGGTTAGTAGACCGTGTGTGGAATGAACTACAGAGGGACCAGTGTTGTACAGTAAAAAACAACCGGTTCCATATGTAGCCTTAGCTTGACCTCGCTGAAGACATTGTTGGCCCACCAATGCTGCCTGCTGATCCCCTAGATCGGCTGTTATAGGCACCCCTTGTATTTTAGTTTCCTTTATATACCCATACAATTCGCTGCTTGAAACGATGTCCGGCAATATAGAATTTGGCAAACCGAAGAAATCTAATAAGTGACGATCCCATTGCAAAGTTTCTATATTCATCAACATAGTACGAGAAGCATTCGTAACATCTGTCAAGTGAAGTCCACCGTTTCTAGCGCCACCCGTAAGATTATATATAAGCCAGGAATCTAGAATTTTTGAAATCACCAAAAGCTAGCTTAAGGTTGTCTAATTTCACTAACCTATAGTTCCGAACATAGCATTTCCTTCATCCATTGCTTTTCTAACGGACTCCACATTATCACGTAACCAACGCAACTTCAGTGCAGAAAAGTACGGAGATAGGGGTAGTCCACATAATGGCTTTAAATATTCAATGTTCTTAGAATTGTTAGGAATAGATGCTACCAGCTGATCCACAGTAACGGAGGTACGATTATCCAGCCAAATGATGGCATTGTACAAAGGCTTACCAGTGTCCCGATCCCAGACTACAGATGATTCTCTTTGGTTAGTTATTCCCACAGCAACCAAGTCCTAACATAAATAAAGTAAAATAAATGTTAGCAACCCTTAAGTGCTAAGTGTATGTAAGTGAATGTTTGAAAAATTCAGAAAGACAAGAAAATAAAACACCCAACAACGAAACAAAACGCTAACACAAAAAAAATAAATTGTAAAGAAGCGATAAACTTTTAATATTTCTACTCAATGTTGATTCAGCGTTACTTAATCACGTCTGTGTGTAAACTTAAACATTCCTATTTGCGTAAACTGAACCATAGAAACCTCGAAGTGCGTAAAATGTCCTCTCGGACGAAGCAAAAACCTGTCGTTGCCGTTACCCAAATGTGCACCACCAACGATAAAGCAGCAAACATGCGCCAAGTGGAGCAGTTGATTGGAATGGCCAAAGCTCAGTCGGCAGAATTTATATTCTTACCGGAGTGCTGCGATTTTGTGGGCGAAAATCGAAAACAGACCTTAGAATTATCAGAGCCTTTGACTGGACCTACCATGGAACAGTACCAGGCTTTAGCCAAAAAACACGATGTCTGGCTCTCTTTGGGCGGCTTACACGAATCAATTCTAGATCAATACGAACGTAAAACTGATAAAATACATAACGCTCATGTGATTCTTAACAATCGCGGCGAATTAGTTGCCGTGTATCGTAAACTTCATTTATTCGACGTGGACACGCCGGAGTTTACATTTCAAGAATCCAAAGTGGTATGCGGAGGTCAGCGTTTAATAGCTCCCTTGGACACTCCTATAGGAAAACTAGCTTTGCAAATTTGCTATGACATGCGTTTTCCTGAATCGAGCATACTGTTGCGAAGGGCTGGGGCTGAGTTATTAACGTATCCTTCAGCATTTACTTTTTATACAGGTAAAGCTCATTGGGAAATATTGCTTAGGAGTCGTGCTATAGAAACGCAATGTTTCGTCTTGGCCGCTGCGCAAGTGGGCCACCATAATGCTAAACGTAAAAGTTGGGGTCACGCTTTAATAGTCGATCCCTGGGGTAAAATATTGGCCAATTTGGGAGAGAGGAAACTCGATGTGGCCACAGTCGAAATTGATTTAGATTCTCTAGAGCCTATACGCTGTAGAATGCCTTGTTTTAAGCATCGTCGAGATGACGTATACAGTTTAGTTGCATATGGCGAAGGCACAACGGAACCTCAACAAGATTATATGTTTGCAGAAAACTGCATTAAAAAGCAGACAATATTCTTTGAGTCACCATATTCTTATGCATTTACTAATATTTGTTGTGTAGTAGAAGGCCATGTGCTAGTAAGTACGAAGCGAATTGTGGCACGATTAAAAGATCTAAATTCAGTCGAAATTAGCGATTTATTTACTGTAACTTGTCGCATCCAACGCATGCTAGAGAATTTTTATAAAACTTCTGCTTCCACAGTCAATGTACAAGATGGCCCGCTTGCGGGACAAACCGTACCTCATGTACATTTCCATGTAATGCCACGACGTGTCGGCGATTTCGAACGTAATGACGATGTTTATCGGAAGCTAGACGCCACAGCGGGCAAAAAAGTAGAACGCACTATAGAGGAAAGAATAAAAGAGGCGCAGTCCTATCGAGAAGCTTTGCGTACTATGAAACAATAAAAAGTACATAAACGAATTTAGTCAATAAGCTAAAATTAGTTAAAATATAAAGTCCAAAATAAAAGCTTTAAATAAAGATACAAGTGGACGCCATTAATTTGCGACTCTTGAAAACTTTTCAAACTATGATAAAATTATCGCATACTTCATGGATAAGCCGTGATAAATGTATATAGGTTTGTGCGCAGCATATATATATATATATGATGTGTTCTGATTAGATTAAAAAGATAAAACGTACAAAACGTAGTAATATGATACGAGCGTATGGCAATTGAAATTTTTTTTTTATCTAGACTTAAGCAGGATGAAGAAAGAAATGTTTCTTAGCGAAAATTTAAAATTTACAAGTATAATTCCAGCAGAGAGGTGCACGGTTTCATCTAAATAGATTTCATTCTTATGCATACATTAATGATTACATTCTTTACAATCGTCTGAATGATTTCACTACCCAATATCGTTACTGGTAAATTGCGCAACAAATTAAAATGCTTACCTCGAGCGTTTTTCCTTTTTTTTGAAATTCTTCCATAGTTACATCGATGCATTTCTTTACAACTTCATAGATTTCTATCGGATCTTGCTCCACCCATCCTTCTTTCGGATAGAAAGAAGTTACATCAAGTTGATGGGAGCAAATCGGTACATCTGAGCCAGCACGATATATTATGAAGCGAGCGGAAGAAGTGCCCTCATCAATTGCCCCAACGAATTTTGTTGTCCCGGTATCTTCCATCCTAAAAACATTTAACAATATTAGAAATTTATAAATACAATAATTATATAGAAAATTATAAATATATATAGCAACGCAGTTAACCATACAATAAATAGTTTTACTTGAATTTGGAAAAAATTCCTTCTCTTGAATATGTTACTTAAAATTTTTTTCTTTATTATGGTTTGCGGCCTTTACTGTTTTGTTATTGTTGTTGTAATTTTTTTTTTCATTTCTTTACACATTCACAATCCATCGAAAGCAATCAGCTGAGCTTAAATATGTCAAAATGATGACAAATGTTTTGAAATTTTAAATTTTCCTTCCAGCTTTGTTATCTCTTACATATGTTGTTTTTCTTCTTCTTCAAATTGAGTTTGAATTTTTCCAAATATTTTGTCTGAAATTTGTTTCAAAAACCCCAAAAGCCTATTCAAACAAGCAAATGGTTTGGTACTGGCTTTGTCCTCGGAACAGATCGGGCCAGAGCGCTGTGGAGGGAATTTCTAAAGATCCCTGAATCAAACATAGCGCCACATTAATAATGCATGCCCATCGATTGAACTAATTTTGACAGATTCTCAAAAAGTCTCCTACCAAAGTTCACATGCATGGTATAATGCATTTCTTATAACTTCCAATCATCAAGTGTTCCCTGTGTCCTGATCCTAAAGAGTGTTGCCAATTTGATTTTAAGCGCACTTCAGGCTTGGCCTTACTTGTCCCTGGCGAGTATCGCCTAAAAAATCAGAGACAAGAATGTAGCTGGAAAGGTAAGTAAAGTGTCATTGGTTTATTCATATTTGTGGGCCGGGGTTTTAAGTGTTCAATCGAAATAAAAGCTGAGCTGAGTTAGGCCTGTACCAGCGTTGTGTTATTTCCATTCAGCGGCAATTTTAGCTACAGTCAAAATGTGGAATGGGAAGTACAAAGAGTATAGGTTAATATACTTCGCGGCCCTATCATAACCGCGTAGGTGGCGTTTTAATGCATTACGTACGCTCTGCCGCAATGCTACACCTTTGCAAAAGCTTGCCTTCGTCCGATTATGTTTCCTTATTGCAGCTTTGTAGAAACATTTTTTTATAATTATTAAAATCTTTCAATATATACTATGGCAAATGAATGATTCCAAATGCTCAGCGTTGTTCAACACATTTTGTTACCTTTTTTCTGATTTCGAACCGCGTGGCACAAAATTTCTGGTTAATGCTTTTACTTTCGCAGTTATCTTAAATACGCGTCGAAAATGCATCTTTTTCTCTTGTCGCTTCCATGAAACTTTCGATCGCAAACTTTTTTTTATTAAGAACTAGGAATATAATCTGTATAGAACGATATTCCCTATGGAAACAGAATTCACAAAATGTGCAGATGAGAAGCGTTACATTCTGTTTGAAATTCTGTATATATATACATATATATATATATATATATATATATGCAAACATCCAAAAAATTGTCAATTTTCTGAAATGAAAAAAATTACAGTCAAAACGCCAGAAACTAAAACAACTGCCGTTCTTAAGTGAATTCTTAAGTGATTTTGATTTTGAAAATCGTTTAAAAGGTGCAGTGTGAAGATTACTATATTAAGTAAGAGTATCAACTTGTCGCGGATTATTTGTTACAAGCCTCCATTACAAACAATAGCTTCTACTACTTTTCGTTTGCCAAAATCACATTTAAGAAATGGATGTGGAACCCCGCTTCCCTTTTGGAAATGTTTTCCATTTATTTTCTGTAAAACTTCCTGCCCTGTCTTCCTAACTTCTACGCTATCTGTCTCTTAATGCTATTATTTACGTGTTTTCAAATATGAGACGTCTGCGGAAAAGTCACATGAAAAGCGAAATGTTGGAGATATTGTGTAGCACTAGACGGTGAAAATATTATAAGGAAAATTTGCAAAATCCCTACGAAAGACTATTCATTCTTCATTGCCTCTTTTAGTGAGCTCTTTTTCCTAAACATAGCGATGGAAGAAAGAACTGGAAATCCATCGGAGCATGGTGTATCTAATATCATGATTGATCACATATTCTTTTATACCTTCCACAGGTTTTTATTTGTCACGCATAGAAATATTCATAGCAAGCTACGTAGAGTGTATAAATTCTTGATTAGTAAGAGCCATGGCACTGATGGATCTACATGTCCGTTTGTCCAAGTCGCAATTAAGAGTTTAAAGCATTTTTTGGTAAAGAACATTGATTTTCAATTTTTGATTATCATTCTTCCCAAAGTGTGCTTTAGAAGCAATTAAATCTGTACATGACACAGTGCATTCAATTATCTTACCTCTTTTTTTATGCGATTTTGAATTAATACTGTTCACCAACTTGAACACAGCATTTCGTTGTTCAGTTCGCAAGATACTATATATAACTTCGATAAAGTTGCAGATGTTCATTTGTTGGTTGCTCACTCCGTCATGAACATGCAGGCTTGTTGTCAGTTAACGATGAATGTTGCGGAATTGATTTTTATTACAAGTTTCAAGTTCAATTTTCTATGTTGTACTTATGGAATGAATTCCTCCTTATGGAAAACAAAAGAATTGTTTTTGCTTCATAATATTGCTCTTTTTGAATGGTTTTTTGAGAAAATATTTCGAACTTTCTCATCTTATACGCCTTGTTACAGTTACGGAACATATGCACAAAGCAGAGCATTTATCTCCACTTGAACGTCTCCTGACTAGTTTTAGCAAATTTTTAGAGACCTGGCGTTCGATTTTCGCATATTTTTGAATATTTCCTGTTAATTGTTCGATATATTCGTACAAGTGGTTTTATATAATATATAATCTTATATATATAATTATATAGAAAAAGAGCATTTATTTCTATCAGAATCCTTGCCACTTATCTTATATTCAATATTATTGTAAAGCCAAGTCCGATTACTTATTGTGGGATTAGCGCAAGCGGATTCAATATTTGTCTTTTCCGGATTGTAACCGTTAGTAAAGACTTCGTGACGGACTGCCATTAAACCCAAGCTAAATTGGAATGAATAAACACGTCAATTTGTTTATTCAAACTAATTTTCACTTCGTGCATATATTTTTCATAAAGTGGCACTTGTTCAGGGTCAGTCGGTGCGAAAGTTACTTGCATAAACTTATGCCGACCTAATGTAGAATTTAATGCTATAGGCAACTACATTAACAAATTTTGCAAAGAAAAAGGGTTAAATGTCATTCCCGCATTTATAGGACACGGAATAGGTACTTATTTCCATGGGCCGCCAGAAATTTTATATTTTAGTAAGAAGTAGCATTAGAAATTGCAACCATGTGATGATGTGTTAATAGTTTTTTTTTTTTTTATTTGAGAAAACAATTTTCCCGGTGCCATGCAGCGTGGTATGACGTTCACAATAAAATAACAGTTTGTCAGAAAGTGGAAGCCTGTTCCTGATGTCAAGGGATACACTACTAAACTCGTCAGACACCGCCAAAGCTTCCATTCGCTAAGAACTACTCTTCTAGATAAGTAAACATAATGAAACGGTAAAATGCCAAACCTAGAACATAAACTCGCGGCAATTGTGGCCGTCAGCCAATACCGCGTGAATCTTGTCAATTGATTATACCAAACGCCAACGTCTGCCATTTATTCCTTCTCTTTGTCGAACTTATATATAATAGCAAAAATATTTAATATTTAATTCCTTGAGCGTAATTATTCTCTTAGCTGAGTTTAGTCAAATTCTGACATTATTCGTAAAAGCATTACGTGTCTTCTGTCAAAAACATATGCGAACCATTTCCAATATTCCAATGCGTTTGTTTACGATTTCGCTAAACTCCAAAAAAATACACGATTGAAATTAAACAAGCAGCTGCAACGTAAAAACAATTAAAAACCCAATACAACACTTCCTACTATACAGAGATGTTCATTCATTTTCATAGCAACACGCCAAATACAAAAATACAATTTCAATAGTAGTACACTTTAGTGACTAAGGAAATCAACATTTTGAAAATTGACAGTAAAACTTTAAATAAAATATAAGTCAAAGCAAAGGAATAATATCAAAGTGTTACTTAGCTTCAGTGAAACCTTGCGCGATCATTACCCATATCAAATTCTATATAATATTTACCAATGAAAACGTCACCTTATATCCATATTGGTCCATTCGGTGGCGGTATATCGATGCACATACATATAAAAATCGACAAAAAAATTCTTGCGTCAATTTCCGTCGACCCATAGCGCAAGCTATGTGAAGTGGGGTGTCGCCATTTTTGTTTTGTATATTAACATTGCATGCTGCGAGATCAAGATTCTACATATACAATTATATATGACGGCAGAAAGGTTTAGCTAAAATCCTTTAATCAGAATTTCTCAGTTATAGAATTAAAGTCACTTATGGAGGAAGAATAGTTTTTCTTGATGTGAATGATGAGTTTTAGAAGTTACAAGTGCAACAAAAAAGTTGATCTACCTTCACATCGTTCTCTTATGCTGTGGAGCTGTAACAAGACAAGAATTATATATTACTCAAACTACCAACATGTTTTTACAGTCGCGGACATTGAACTTTTGTAATGCCCAAGTAAGTGCATAGGAGAGAGTTCATCAGATTTACAGCGTTTCAAGCTAGCAAACTGCTTTCAAACGGGCTCTAACTCTCATTCCAAAAAGAGAGCTGTGGGCAGATAAATCTACAAAAATTTGAAAATCGAATAATATTCCATGAATATATTTTTTTTTTGTCTTTATTTATTAATAACTGCATTCTTATGTGGAATGAATATAAAAAAACACTAAAAAAGCTATAAACAGTATAAGTATTTGAAAAGCAAAAAGATACAAGAAAACAAGGATAAGTAAAATACATCGAAATGTCATTAATTAAATAAATTGCGAAAAAATAGCAAAACTAATTTAAATGAAAAAAGATATCGAGACGTTTTTGAATTTAAAAAAAAACAGTTCATTTGCTCTTACACAATGTAATATAGAGTAGTATCTATTTCTTTGAACTAGTATAATTACAACTTAAGCCCGAGAGCCGCCCTCTCTTCGATCTATTGACGCCTGGTGTACTGGTCGTAGTCTCGATTTGTCGCGAGGTTCTTTCCGGTGTCTCACAAAGTTGGGGGGTGGCCTGTGGTTAAATTTTGGATTTAAAGATAGCGAACGCCATTTACGGCATGGAGCAGCTACTGCTGCAAATTTGCTGGTGCTGGGAGCTTCGTCCATTTTTTCTTCTTTGCACATCGCTTGAAGGTATGTTTTTTTGGCTATTTGCGCACTGCTGTTTGCAGTTTTTCCAAACGTCCTTTTAATCAATATTTCAGCTTTTGTGTCTTTTAGTACACTTTCATAATATTTTTCATGAATATTGCCTTGAAGTTCTTTTAGAATACTTTGTACGCATTTCTTGCTCTCTTCCGATATGGAGATTTTTTTACCATTCGCTGTTTGAAAACCAGCAGAAACTTCATTTTTGCCTTCTCCCAACTCCGGCCGTTCTCCGCTAACCTTTTGAAATCCTGATGTAACATTAGTATTAGTTTCTCTCAGCACCAAGCTCTTGTCTCTTTGGTTACCTTTAAAGCCAATCAAAATAATAATGAAATAATAAGCATAATGAAATATGAGGAATATCATACCCTGGGCTATCCGCTCATTTATTGGCCTGTTAAATTTTGGATTTAAAGAAAGCGAACGCCATTTACGGCACGGAGCAGCTACTGCTGCTTCGTCCATTTTTTCTTCTTTGCACATCGCTTGAACGTCTGTTTTTTTGGCTATTTGCGCACTGCTTTTTGCAGTTTTTCCAAAATTATTGATCTTCACGTCTTCATGTAAGATTTCCTGAGTGCTTATGGAAGCAAAAATGTCATCATCATCATCCCAATCGTTGCTTATCTCAGTTTTACACTGGTTAGATGGTACTAGAGCTAAAAAATTTTGAATTAATTTAAATATTGTTTCATCGCGGATTTTAAAAACAACTTACTTTGATTTACGTTGTATGTGTCCTCTTTCTCGGTATAACCACGATCTGAAGCTTTTCCTAAAATGAATTTACAAAGTTTTTAAAAAAAGCCTATAAAGAGCTACTTACTTTCTAGCGTATAATCGTATAAAAGAGCCAATTTTGCCTTTTCTCTAAATTCGCGGCTGTAGGTTTTCCTTGGTTTTTCGCGTAAAATATATAAAGGGGACCGTTCCAAATTCCTTAACTTACTCTCGGGTGATACTACTACTGAGAGTCCTCAAATACTACATCCACAATTGTTTCTTCTGGAGCGTCTATGCTGTTTACTTCTTCCATCGTAACTTCCGCTTTATTACAACATTCGATTAATTCTTCATCAGAGATATGAAATTCATATTCACTTATCGATAACTCAGCAACAGACTGGGACAACAGGATGTAAATTTTTGCGAGCTTGTCAAATTGTCAAAATTGGTTATTGTTGTTCACGCATAAGGCCGGGAACCCACTGAGGAAATTATTTCATCTTCGTACCGACCCACACTTTTTTTTAAAGCGACTGGGCGACTTTCTTCACCTTTTTTATTAATTTTATTTGATTCCATTTTTAAATTTAAAAAGAAAACTGTTTTTTTTTTGAATCTTTGTATACACTTTTTACAATTGAAAAGATTTTAAGAAAATTGTTTTTTTTGACCTTTGTATACACTTTTTTTGACAATTGAAAAGATTTGAAAAAAATTGCTTTTTTATACATTTATATATACAAGATTATATATTATATTCCAAGCACTTGTATGAATATATGGAAAGAATTAATATCATATGTAATGATTATAGTTAATAAAACAATGATTTATACAACACATTTTATTTTAAATTTTTTATGCTGAAAATCGGTTCATATTAGCAATTGAGTCAAAATAGTAACGGTACGGTATTTGGATGAGATAGGTCTATTTTTTATAGGGATTATCATGAAAAGCAAGCTCTTATATGAGCAGAAAATCTAATATTCAGTATTTTATAAAGGAAACTGGAAAGTAATACAAGTTTTGGAAAGTAAATTAAGTTTTCTAAATTTGGATCATGGACCTCCTCCAATATGCGGGCTTCCATAAAAAGTGTACTTTTGCATTAAAAACCACTCATGCCAACGCTGACGTCTGGCGCAAAATGTTTTCTAAAAAAAATCAAAAAAATATAAAATTTTATAAAAGTTGAGGTGATAAAGGTTTTACAGAATTCTTGGAGTTTCAAGGAAATTGCCGCCGTCCAAATCTTGCGGATATTGAACTTTGAGAAAGTAATGCACATCACCTATATAAATGCCTATAAGAGAAGCAACTGATCTGTTGAAATGAAAAGAAAGCATTATAAATAGTCCCTTTTAGTACGATATTACTTCAGCTTACCCGTGAAAGATTAATTCAAGGCCAGCTAATATCCAAGGCAAATATATAGCTTTAAAACGGCTACCAAACCAAAAGGTAACGATAACATCTTTATTTAAATGACACCAGCAACTACGAGAATATCATTAGGAAGCTGACATTATATATTAGGCCGCCGACAACTGCCATTCCACTTATCACAAGTTGCATATATAAATAATCAGCTGGGCGCCGATTGAATTGGTCTTTTTCCAGGCGGCCACTGTACTGCACAATTGAACCAATTTTGACTTTCGAAGGTCCTGAGGTGGAAATTCAAAAGGACGGCTGGACAGCAACAACGTTGGACGGCGCAAGAACAGCACAATTCTGTGTTGGGTAATATATAACCAGGCGTTACTGTTAAATATAAAACTCTGATACTGAGCACTGATTCTACTTGCGTGCTCCCACCGCCCAAGTCTAATGCCGCAGCCTGATTAGATTTCGATAGTCGGCCCAGAAGAAAATTTACCGTAAACCATGAAAAAATGCCCTCATCAGTTCCGTCCATTATCTCGACAGCATCAATATCTACACTAAATACTGACTTGGTAAACAGGTCACGGCATTTAAAAGATTTTCTGCTTTACTGTGTGGTAATAAACGCAAGCCGGCAGTAGCTTTTCATAGCATTTCTCCTTGGGTATGAAAGCTTTTGAATAATTAAATAAATATATATATATATTAAGCATTTCTCCGCCTCCTGGATGGAGTTTTGAACCAAAGGAAGTGAAACTTACCTTTTGCTTCATCCAGTAGTAATTTGATTGACAAAGCAACTTTCTCAGGATTATCGGCAAAAGCAGAAAGTCCCGGTTTACGTATATATACATATGTCACATGTATTTTTTTACAGGTTTTTTTGCACGGTTTTCAAAGGAACACATCTGCCGGGTAAGAAAAGGAAATAGATGTAAAGAATTACGTGTTCAATATAGATGTAGGGTCCCACATACACACGCACAAGCACAACACACGACTGATAGATGAAATGAGTAGTTTATCTCTCTATCGCAATCGAATATCGTATACAAGGTTATTATGTCTGGGTCAATTACGGTCTGGGATATTTAAAGTCTGGGATATTCCTCTTCTCCGGAAATCTGCGCATTGCTTTAATCTCTTGCGTATACTACTTTCCGAACGGGCATATCTACTTTTCCAGAATAGACGATAAATTAAAACCTATAATGGATTGCATTGGTATATAAATCTTTTCGTTAATTTTATGTATATTTTTATAATTTTTTAGTTTTTTATTTTTATAAATTTCCATCTTTTTATACACAACGAATTAATTATTATTTAAAATTAAAATACAATACGAACAACAACTATTGTATGTAAGCGATCGATTAAAATTATTTTTAAATAAAAAAAAAAAACTTTCATACTTAATCTTGATAACGTTTTTCTTTTTTTGTTTATATGTATATCTGTTAATTTATGTTTATTAATCAATTTATTTACTCTTTTTTTTTTTTTAAATGCTACATGACGATGATTTTGAGAAGGACTAAGATTTTGCATCTGTCTTATTATACACTTAGGTTTAGTGATGGTAGCTTTCATTTATTATTATTACTATTATTATTATTATTTTTTAATAAATTATTAAACATTCACTAATTTATTGTAAACTAATAAAAAATTTTAGTACTACGAGTTAAATTAGCTATAAATTAAGTTATTAAATAATATTCAATTAAAAATTGAATGAAACTTAAAAAAAAAAAAGAAGAGACAAAGATGAAGAAATATTATTATTTTAAATTAAAATCTGGCTTACGTTGTGACAACTTAAATAAAACAATTATTTACACAAATTATTAAAAACGCACTTAAAAAAAAAAATATTAATATTATTCTTTATAAAACTACATGAATTTTCAAAAAAAAAAAAAAAAAGAATTATTTAACATTATTTACGTTATTATTAATATAATATATATTTTCAAAAATATTGCATTTCTTTTTTTAATGATTTTATTGAAATTCTATATAATTAGCATAAATTTAAACTCTATGAAAGGCACATTTTATGGTTAGAAGGCTTTTTTTCACGATAAAGGCATACTTATAAGAAATACTTTTAATAATAAATTTAGTTTGTTCTCAATGAAAGCGCGTTCAATGTATACTATGGAGAGAGAGAGAGAGAGGGAGAGTTAATCAAGGCCACAAGCATTTAAGGCACTTGCATTACCAAAGAAATAGACGAAGTGATTTATTATAAGACCAGCTTATAAGGCTAGTTTTAGTGGTTCTTCTTCTTTTTTTTCTTTTTTCTCTTGGCTTCTTTCTAAAAAAAACTTGATTTTATATTTTTTGTAATTTCGTATATTAACTTATTCTGCTTTTTGGTCTATCCAGCCTGCTGAAATAGATTTATTTTTGTAATTTTTCTTAACTTTTAAAAACATTTTTTTGTTTGTTGCAGCACCAATAATAAATTTTTGTTTTCTTAAAAATGGACGCTTTAACCATTTGGTCATTATTTTAATAACGAGTGTGAAAAGAAGAAGAAATCACTTTTAGAAAACGTTATATACAATAGCTTAAAGTTTAAATAAAAATAAAAATTATTTTTGTTGTTGTTGTTGACTCGTTTGTGTTTTACAAAGTTGTGAGAGAAGAATTTTATAGTTAATATAAATAACAATAATTTAAATAAGTTCACGAAATTTTTTTTTTAAGAAAAACTCATTGCTCTTAGTGAAAAACGGAGGCTCGATTTTTTTTTTTTTTTTGGCAAACAGTACAACTTACAGTTCTATAGTATTTTCTACACTCTTTGAGTTTTTCGCATTTTACCGATAAAAAAAAAGCTTTAAATAACAGCAAAATTACAGATTCCGATCAAAATTAATTAAAAAACAAGTGAAAAGGCTGCAGTCGATCACGGCCGACTAATTGATACTTTACACCACTTTAATAGTTGAAATCATCTATCTGCATAGCAGCTTTCATATCTTTCATAAACCAAACGCCAATTCGCGTAAGCCAATTCTGGTCAGGCGGCTTTTCTTGCTTGGAAGTTTCTGTCGTAGTAGTTTACATAATGTGGCAGCGTGAAAACGCTTCTTAAATGGTTGCTTTTTGAAGCAGAATATAGGTGCCGGGTATGCATGTATCTGCGCCTGATTTCAGAACTGTTAGAACTGAACATAGTTTAGTTTACATATAAAAAGAAAACTTTGGTTTAGATATAAATAGAAAACGATTTAAAATATCGTTTATTCTCAATATTTTCCGATTGTTAAGAAAAAGATCCAAAAGCAGTGCAATAGAAACAAAAACACAAAATTGAAATTGTAAATTGATAGTCAGGTATCCTAAATTCAAAACTGCATACTGGCAATTGCATAATAAAAAAAAAAAGGAACAAACCTTAGAAGATAAAGATAACTAACGTTCAAGCTCTTCTACTGAAGAGAGCAACGCCTAAATATGTCAACGGAACATACCAGAGAGGGAGGGGAAGCGCAGCTTAATGGAAAGCTATTGAAGTAAAAGTAAAAACAAAGTTCTTTTTATCAAGTAGACCAAGCACACGGCACGTGCAGCTTGAGGCGGGCAAGGAAGGCAATTCATAATAACGTTAAAAATCAGCTGCGAGCAAAACATGAGTGAAAACATACTAAAACTTCTCCATATTATAGACAATCTAAGCGAGATTAATTTGACTGTAGTAGAAGATCTGTTGACAATCCCATTGCTTTAGAGTAATCGAAACGATTATGGGCTTCTCAGAAATGAAAAGCAAGAAAGACTGCTACTACCCGAAGTTTTGAAATAAAATTGCTGGAAAAAAATTGGTATAGCTCCAGCCGTTCTTGTATGGACTATCTATAATGCACTTATAAAGAATACAAAATTACAATCAGATAATTAAATATGTACCCAAGCGTGTACGTTCGTTATAAATTTTGATAAAAAATAGTGCTTGGCTAGATAGTTGAAGTCTCTCCACATATTTGTTATCAAAAGGAAAATATGTAAGTTTAGCTAGTTAGAATATTGAAGGAAGCGGAACGATAACGCGGAAAATCGAAAGGATTTATTGGGAGATTACAAAAGGTACTCTGTGTTCGAGATTGTGTTCAAACTTGTTATCAGTTTCAAGTTGAATAGCTGGATACAGTTTCAACAATTTGTAAATGAATGATGTTAATATTGGCATTGAAGACTGATACGAGTGCTTTACCCACTTGAATGAGAGCGACTTGAAAAGAACCTCAATAGAAATGCATTGCAATTTATCTTTAGCTTTTGCGCCTGCCAAGCACGAACGTTATGCATAGAAAAAATGAAGAACATACATTTAGTCATTAAATGAATCACGTAAATGCAAAAGTTGGTGAACAATTTGCGGGATAATATTTACGAAACAGCATTTATACTATTAGCTCTAATGTTAATAGTAATGTAAATAATTATGTAAAAGTATTGGTAATACTAGGGCCAAAGCAATCATGCAATATGATATACGCGTCCGGATATTTCTTCAGACAAATAATGTTAATTCAAAAGATACTTCAAATTGACACAATTTGAATAGAATTTGTGTTAAAACCTTTTCTATACAGGCGTTGTATATGCTGCATCTTCAAGTGGTGTAGGGTATTGTAAAAATTAGCATACGTTAGTAATTATTTATAAGTTAAATTGACTAAACAAGATTTTTGCATTGACACCAAATCCGCCATTCCTTCTATATATTTCGTGCTATTTACACGTACACTGGTGACTGATCGTCCATCATATCCGGATTAAGTTTATCGTCGAAGAAACGACGAAAAGTGAATTCAAAGAAGCCATGAAAAGGTTTATCACTATCATTGAAATCATCAGCACTTATATTGGAATCGGAACGCAGCTTATCGGGATCGATGGGATCGAAATTGGAGGTGTCTGTAGGATGTTCAATCTTTGGAATATACGGCGCTTTTTGCCTTCTCATGTCGGCAAAATCAACACCTTTAAAAAAATCATGGGCCTTCACCTCGTCAGCTTTTTTGCCCAGCCGTTTGTCGGCCGAAGAGCATAAACGCAATATCAGATCGGTGGCCTCACGAGTTAATTTCGCCTGCGGTGGTATATGTAAGGTTTTCTCCCAATTAATTACCTAAAAAAGATATTAATCGCAAATAAATTAAGCAAATGGTCTTTGTACGCTTTTCGTTAACCTTTTGTTGAGTTTCTACGGGCGTATTGGCTAAGAAGGGCGGCTGTCCTACTAGCATTTCATAAAGTATAACACCAACACTCCACCAATCACATAATTGCGTGTACCCGCTTCTTTCCAGGACCTCTGGGGCTATGTAGTTAGGTGTGCCTACAAGTGAATGAGCCAAAACTCGTTGGTGGTCTCGCATTCTTCGCCTGAAAACATAATTCAAAATTCCCCATTTTTCTTATTATTTATGCAACCGTACCTTTCCAGAACTGTAGGTCTTTTGCCATTTTCAGCGTAATCTTCCCAGGGTTCCATTGAATCTTGTCTAGCATGATTACCTACAAAGTTTTATATATAATTACATTACATAATATGGCATGCCCACCGAGCTCACCATTTTCTTGATAATATTTTGAATTGTGAGTCCAACGAAAACCAGTACATAAACCGAAATCTGTCAACTTTATATGGCCGTCACGATCGATTAATATATTGTCAGGTTTTATATCTCTAAAGTAATTCAAGTAGGATGTATGTATTTAAAAGAATTTTGAAGATTTGAATAAAACTTACCTATGGATAAAACCCATTTTGTGTACACTTTCCACGGCGCAAGTTAGCTCCGCTATATAGAAACGAGCCAATGGCTCTTCGAATATACCCTTTTTGATTAGCAATGACATTAGATCACCGCCTAACCCGTATTATAAAACAATTAATAAATTTTCCTATGATAGTGTAACTCGTCATTGCTTACCTGGTATATAATCCATAACAAAGTACAGATTATCCTTATCTTGAAAGCTATAATACAATTTGACGACCCAATTATTGTCTGCTTCGGCTAAAATATCACGTTCCGCTTTCACATGAGCCACTTGATTACGCTTGAGCACGTCTGCCTTGCGCAACGTTTTCATGGCATACAAATGATTAGTGGTATCTATTTTCCGCACCAGTGTTACTTCTCCAAACGCCCCCACTCCAATTGGTTTAATTTTCACGAACATACTTTTGTCCATTTTGGCACGTTTCAGACGTATATAATTGCTTTCCTTTTGATTGAGCATTTTACGCATTTCGACTTGAGTTTGCGTAGACAAACCAATTTTGAGCATTTCCTTTTCCAGCTGATTTTTGCGAAAGGTTCGTTGCTTGTAAGATTTTAGAACATTTTCAATGTGTTGTTCCATATAAAATTTAAAAGCTTGAGGTGAGTATTGACGTATACGACATTCTTTACGTTCTTCTTCTTTCTCCTTTGAAACTTTCTTGCGTTCCGGTATCGGAGAAGCATGTTTAATCTTCTTACAGTATTCAGGTATTGCGGTGGACTTACTGCACGAAGCTAACGCATTGGTAGATGTAGCTGGCGGATCACTACCACCACCAGCACTACCCGCACCACCACTACTTGAGGTAGCGTTGCCACTATTATTGCTGTTGCTGTGGTTGACTTTCGCTGGTGGTATTGGAGGTGGCGCGTTGTTGTTGTGGTTTATTACTTGAGCTACTCCGCCTCCTGAACCATTTGATCTAGTTTCCAAATTGTTGTTGCTGTTATTGTTATCATTTACTGTGGGCGACACTATTGTTGGTACTGCCGCTGCCGCTCGCGTACTTTGATATGGTGGGGGAGGCGGCAATTGACGACTACTCAGTACAATCGGTTGTTTAGGCTGCTGTGCCGCCACTAAGGCCGCGGCCGCTCTTAGTTGCGCTTGTAACTGCTGTTGCTGCTGTAAAGCAGCCTGTTGTTGTTGTTGTTGTTGTTGCTGCTGTTGTTGTTGCTGTTGGTGCTGAGCAGCTTTAGCCTGCATGCTCTTAGCATACGATGGCGGTTCTACGCAAGGAGGTTTACTCATCACCGTACCATTCAAAGCATTCGCAATGAGCGGCGGTGTCGTAGGTGTAGGTGGTGTCGGTTTATTTACCGCATTGTGAGTGCTAGTAACGCCGCCTATAGCGCTGAGTATAGGTGGTTGCTGCTGCTGTTGCTGTTGTTGTTGTACAACAGCGGCTGATTTTTGGGGATATGATGGCGGAGCTGAGAGTATATGAACCGGCGAATTACAAGCTGAAGCAGTTACTGGCGATTGTGGAGCAACCGCTGTTTGCAATACAGGTTTTTGCACTTGAGTGGACTTGACGCTTTGCATTATAATAGGTTGTTGAGTGCGTGTTGGATACACTCTCGGCTGCGGCCGAGCTACTGATGTGGGTTGCAGAAGCGGTAAAATTGCACTATTCGTTACGGTGATGGGACTCGGTGACCCGGCCGAAGTAGCTGAGTATATACCGCTGCTAGGCGACTTACGATAATCTGACTGAGATTGTGTGGGCGATTGGCGCGATTGCATTGAAGCTGTATAGCTTGGGGGCGGTACTGAAGCTGGCACAACCACCGTCTGAAGAGGATAAGGCGGCGGTGGTTCGACACCACTGCCGCCGTTGCTTTGATATAAGCTCAAAGCTTTCATTTGTTGCGACAATTGCTGTTGAGCTTTAATTCCATTCTGCGGTATTACCGGTGACGTACCGCGGGTAGGGTTTGGTGTTATGGCCGCCGGTCGTGTCGTAGCCGGTGAACGCCGCTTATATAGTTGATTCGAGGGCGGTGGAGGGGGTGGTGTAGCGGAATTTCCTGTGGTATGATTTCGTGGTGGTGGTGCCGGTGGCGCTACATCACTATAATTTGATGGCGAAGGTGAATATTGACCGGTACTAGCTCGACTTGCACATGTTAATTGTTGATGCGAATGTGGACTGTCCGAGCGAGAGCTACCCGCTCCTGAGTCCAAAGCAGGACTGCAACGTAAATAATTAATAGGTAGCTCTCGTTCAATGCTCGCTTTCCGATTTAATTTGGGTGGTATATGGGAAGCTGGCATTACTTTCGGTACTCCATGGCCATTATGTGGTACAGATGTAGGTATGGCGGGTGAGGGGGAAGCCGAGGGAGGTGGCTCCATCGGTGATTTGGTTGAATGATGATAATCCGGTGCATCGGATCGACCATTGACTGTTGTGGGATAGCGGAGAGATGTGAAACTCTATCCAATGACAACAAAAAGAATGAAAACAAAAAGCATCGGGAAAACCCATTAAATAAGGTAGTTCAAATAAACTTGCATTGTGTGAATGGGAGCATAAAGGAAACAAATTTTTTAAATATCTCCTACAAGATAACGTCCGTTATCAATAAAAAAGTGCGTTCATGCAATATGAAAAGCGCCGACATAAAAACATCCGTAAGAGAAAAAGAAGTAAAAAAATTATATTTGTACCCATCAAAAAGGCAAAAAGGCAAGACATAAAACAACTAAATTTTTATGCTTCATAATATGGAATGGGCGAGGCTGATTTCTTTTATTGTTAAAATAAAAGTGTTTGCCATATACGCGAGTGGGCGTTGTAGGTATATCCTTTGAAAAGTTTAGGACACTTTAAAATTCTTTTGCAAATTTGTAGGCGATATCTTAATTTTTGCGAACGGGAGAATGCTTATCGCAGGTGCTACACAGTTCGGAAGACGGACATGTTCAAGTGAGAATGTATATACTTAATGGGGATTTTGAAGCTTATTCCTATATTATGAAAAAAGTTTAAATACTGATACGCTATAAGATTTAGTAGACGTGGCCTATTTTTCCGTTTTTATGCAGGTGCTGCGGCGTCGTCCATAGAATATGCCTTCAAACTTTTGTATATTTATTTCCTATAATTTATAAGAAACGAGCAAAAACCAAGTTTTTATGCCTTTTAGAAAACAGAGGTGCTCTAATTTTACATGATGCTATAGGCGTGTCCTTCGATCAATTTGGCCCATTTTCAATACCATGCTGCGAGCACGATCTTTCAATGTTTTTGCCAAAATTACAGTCGATAGCTTCTTTTTTGCGCTTAGGAGAATGCTTACAATAGACGGACAAACGGACAGTCTTAAAATGACTTAGAATTTGATTCTGATCAAGAATTTAAAAACTTTGTGGGGTGTTTGATGCCTCTTTTTGGGCGCTGCAAACGTTTTGACATAATGGATATACCCCTCATCCTTCGGAGATGACTGTAAAGCTCTTAAAAAGAAACTGCAATCTTCCAAAAAGATTTATTTCTTACTAAAGAATAAGGAAAATGACTGCCAAATCCAACAAGGACCAGCTAAAGCGGATAGTCAAAAACATGAGAGATTTACTTGCTTTTCACATTAGTTTGCAATTTCTTGATGATTACAGTGACGATTAAAATGCAAATAAGTTTGGATTAAATAAAGAAATCACTCATCCATATTTACATTTTCACCATACGAGCGGCTGTACGGATAGTTTTCTATTTTGCGGATCGGATTTTTCCCGTTTCATGCCCAATAATAATTAAACCTAATATGTTGCTTTCCCTATAGTTTCCAAGGAAGTTTTCTATCTTCAATAATAAAGACGTAGGTGTGGAAATATAAATCTTTATTAGCAATAATAATGAGAGACAAGCTAGAAAAATCTCCGAATCCAAACAGCAAGTGAGGTATCGCGAGAATTCCGTAAAGGGCCAAAGACCTAAAAAACTGAATGCAAGTGGGCTTATCGGTGATCAGAGCCCGTAAATGTCAGGCTTAAATCGCTAGAACTTGTATTGATATTTTGTATGTAGGATCATAATAATAGATTCTCGAGAAGTGATCTCTTGATAAGGGTTAAAATTAGAGAGCATCTTTCACTGAATATTTTCGGAGGTGTTCGAAAATTTATTTGAGGAGGTATTGAAAATGAACGTTTAAATCGCTAAAACTTTCGGAGACAAGCATAACGCGGATCTCGCATTATTACATGTTCTAAGCACTTTTGGCGAAAAGGAGCGTAAAACTTTATATCTCCGCGTAGAGACACGATGCTATATGCATTGCATATAGCTGTTTCGTCTTGAGCAACTACGAGTTTACTATTTCCAAAATCATCGCATTAAGTCAAAATGGGAGATTGGGAAATTGTGCGAGCAGAGAAACTTTATTTTACAAGCTGAGTAATAAATAATGGGCATGAGGAGTCGAGTAGATAAGAATCGCGGCTATCTGTGCCTGTGTTCGCGGATTCAAACGTCAGTGCGATAGATCTTATTTTGGTCACATTTGTAGTGAATACTCAGTCGGTGAAGGTGTAACATTTACCTAGGCTATGGCCGCTGCTCTACGACTTTCTCATTCCTCAATTCTTTTCCGTCACCGTATAACACGAAAAGCGGGCATCGTCTGAGTGATTGGTCACATAATGAAAAAAAAAAAAAAAAAATAGAATAAATGCGCCAAATACTCTTCAATTACGCCTTTGTTCGCAGGAATTCTTATCTGCATTTGAGAAGATTTTGCTTTAGATTTTTCAAAAATATTCGAAATAATGAATCCTTCCATAAATAAGGTTTCCGCAACATCACCCACTGTTTATAAAAATTAATGATAGCGGGATTCGAGGAGATACATACATCGTGATGGACGTCATATAGGATTTTAAATGAAAAACGAATGGATTCTGATTTGAGCGGCTATTTTGCACTATATACTCTTATTTGTGCTCTATCGCAACGCTGAACGCTGTCTCATCTAACCATCAAAATTAGAACCAAAAAATTTTTTTAACAATTTAGCCTTAAATATCTGCTGACATAGAGGCAAGCTTACTAAAAATTAATTCAAAGTAGACGTGAATAAAATAAATCACGTTAATCTAATAAAATAATGAAAAAAGTAAATAAATAAAAAAAAATATTATAAATTTAGCAACAAAAACTATTTATTTAGAGGACACACGCTGAGAAAAGCATAACAAGAGCATTAACACAACAACATAATAATACATGTGTGTGTAAACGAATTCAACAAGAACAAGAACAACAACAATTATATTACAGATTTGTTGTCAAAAAAAAATAAATAAATAAAAATAAGAAAAAAAAAAAGAAAACACATTTCAGATCGAAATGCAAGAAAACATAGTAAATTGAAATTCTTTCATTAAGAAAAAAAAAAGTTGAAAGTAGTGGAAGAAGTGAGAAAGAGCGAGAGGGGAAGAGATTCAAGAGAACAACTTAAAAAAAAGAAGAAAAAAAAAGAAAGAAAAGCAAGTCACAGTTGTTGTCGTTTGCGAGTGAACAAAGCGCAAACGTCGGCCAGAGGTATGAACATCATGAGAAGCGGGAGCTAGTGGTGGGTTGAAGGTGCATATGTATGTGGCAAGAATTTGCCATACTGTCAACATTCCAAACAAGATCATCAATTTTATACTGTGCTTGTCTGTGCAGACAACAAAGCAAAAGTTGAGAACAGAAGTTAACCGTAGCAGACTATAACCAAAATAAAAGCCTTTAAAATCATCATCAAAAATGAACACTCGTGAGTTGAGAACGAAAACGTTAACCGGCCGACTACTGCAACACATATTACAAAAAAAAAAGTATAAAAAGCAAAAAAAACAAAAAAAACAAAAATAAAGAAAATATTAAAAAACGAAATGTCAAGGAAATTAAGGAAAAAAAAAAGAAGAAGCGAACTACATTAGCACCAAAATCTAAGCCACAGCGTAAAGAATTTGCCTGATGCGTAATAATTTCATACTTGAAATTCTTTCTACAGAAAGCAAGCAAAAAAAAAAAAAAAAAAAAAAAAGAAGAAAACTTGAGCACAAAAGAAAACACAAAAAAATCATACAAAATAAATATGCCAGAAAAAACCGAAAAAATGCCACCACCAGATGTGAGCTGTACCCGATCGTCCGTAGTCAACGGAATGCTATGCTCATACAGTCAACATGACAGAGAATCTTTCTTATGCGTTCCTATGCATATATGTTCGCATTCATGCCATCATCATCATTCATCCTTAATATTGTTGCTGTACGTATATGTACGCGCATGTGTGTATATGTATATATATACGTTAGCATTGCCCTGATGTACGGCGTTGATCATCGCGCATCGTGCATGTATGGCGGTTGATGCTATTGCTGCTTGCTATTCTGTTACTACCGTATTACGCACAACGCAACATGCGTTCAAAGTCAAAATATTATAAAACCCTCGAATACTTATGTATATAATGCGATCATCGTAAAAGCTAAATAAACAAACAAAATCAAAAAAGTAAAAAAAATAAAAATAAATAAATAAAGGCAACAATAACAACAAGAACGACGACAACACCAACAATAAGAGGAAGAAGATGAAGAAGAAGAATAAACTGGAAACATTGCACGCAACAAACTTGATCAGCACATAAAACACAGTCGACATCCTTGAAAATGTATCACTGCCGAAGCAAGATTGTAACAATGAGTGCTGTGTAGAAACGGTTATCAGATCTGGTAGGTGTAGGTATCAGAAAAATTGATTGGTTTGGTAAACCGTTTCTCAAGGGAAACGAGTTTCTTTAGAATCGGGCAGATGGGCACACATAACAATTTTTGGTAAATAAATAAACAGAAACCGTATTGGGGTAGGCCGCTCTTTGACGTAAAATCCTTAATGGCTTTGGGATGCCTTAAAAATAATTTCTTGTTTTTTTTTTTTCTGATAAATCACTTTATTTACACGAATTGCAATAAGAGTTTATGTCAAGTAGACTATGATTCCTATGCGTTGAATTTATCTCTTCCTGCTATTCCTTTTATGGCTTGAAGTGTTTTGCAAGGAACTCTTCAATATTTCTTTTTCTGCCCCTTGCCTTAGAATATCTTTTGTTGTCCTACACTTTAAATGGAAAAATCTCGGTACTCTTGAGAAAAATAACTTTTCGCTAATAATATAAGTGAACTGTCTCATGTCTTATCCGGTTTCGACTTCGAATACAAATAAGCAGTTTCTCCCATCCAATTACCGATACGAGTTCGATCTATATGGACCGAATTCGGTAAGCTAGATTTGTTTGCCACCTTTTGCCAAAAAACATTGGAAAAACGACCTTTTTATCACATAAAGCTTTAGTTTCCGCATGAACGCTTATATGAGAGGAGGTCCAAAAAATTGCCCCAGCCGTTCTAAAGTTTTCATACCAAGTTAGAATGCTGCGATA